TTTGAGATGTAGGAGTCACATAAAGCAAGTCCAAAGTTATTTTTTTTCTCGTTGAGTAGCTTATAAACCATTGAAATGTAGGAAGTACAGCACAGAGTAAGACATGATTAAAAATATCAGTTTTTTCCACAAATCCATGAGGCTGTTGCATCTGTAGCTTGGTAACAACTGAGGTGGTTACATTCAAAGCAGTGTTGACAGCAGCTAAGAGTAAAGTGTGCTAAAATAACACTAGTGAACTCCTAATAAATAATGGTGGGTAAATAATCACTAACAGTTCAATATATAGACTGCAGGGATGAAACTACACGACATGACAGGCAGTGCTAATCAACCTCCTTTGCTTTTGCCACTCTTCTCTAAATCTCTGTCAGTTAGCATAGTCAGAAAGCGAGAGAGTTGGAGCGATAATTCTTCTGCCATTTGTCATGGAAACACATTAAACTGCATTCCCCAAAATTATGTCTGGGTCTTGGCTCAGAGTCCATCCAACTTTTTCCCTAATAATGTCATGTCACACATTTAAACTAATTCCTCCTTCCTCAGTTTCTTCTTACCAGTGCTCTGTAGCCTCAGCACCCTCTTTTCAACAAATTTAGGGATGTAGTTAAAGTTTTGTTTTATTGTAGCTTTTTAAATCTTGATCAGCTGCTCCACATTGTAAAAAATAAACAGGTTGCTATGGTTATGCATCATAAAAATGTCCCAAAATACATGATATCAGGTAAAATCCATCCATCTGCACAAGATCCAACTTTACACAATAACTTGGTCTCAGTTAAAATTTCTCGAATGTACTTTTTTTTTTAGATAACATTTGATTGCACTCTAGAGAGTAACATTGTTTTAGAAAAAAATAAAATAAAATAATTAAGAATTCAAGGCAACTCACCCGTTTTTCCTGTGGGAAAAAAAATAAAATAAATCTATAATTTTTATGAAGAATGAACCCATTTCTTTTCATTACCATTTCATTTCATGGTCTTCACAAAGACCATGGAGAACTCAGTTTACTACCATGAAATAAATTACAAAACAAAGGAGAGGTAAAGAAGACAAATCACAATTTTAAGCAAAAATAAAAATATTGCTTTTGGTTTTTGTGTGAGAAAATTTAATCTATTCTTCTCTCCAAATTAAATTTGGAACAGATCCTCATATAAATGAGGATCTGTTCCAAATTAGTTTAAGCATATCTTAAACTGAAATAAATCCACTTATAATCTGTATTCACTTCATTCATCCTCTTTCATATCTTGGCACCATGTATCTTTATTTAACAGATCCAGGAGAGACAAAGAGAGCGATGTTGGGGAATGAGATGGATGAGATTAATCAAAATGATGCCACACAGGTGCCCTCATGGAGCAGAACCAGTTCATGGATGGCTGCAGGGACCATCCAGATGGCGCATATTTCAAATTAAAGTTGAACCCTACTATCAAAAATTGTCATTCATAAGAAAGATGGCTTTATTCCAGCATTTCTACACAATAGAATAGGCAGGTGACTGCAAACAGATTGCTCATTCTGATGTGCGAAGGCAGTTCAGATTTGTGAATGTTTTCCATTTACTGATGCTGAGTTTGATCTGTTTTTAATTAAATGTTCTTATTTTTTTTTTAGATTTTTATGCAGATGATGTATGTTTGCAGGAGTTCCATTGGCTTTTTAAACAAGAAATGTTAAAAACCTAAAGCAGAGGCTCAGAGCTACGAGGATCTCCTGACCTGGTCCTTTGCCCGATAAGCCTGTTCATAATCCTTTCATGCTGGCAACAATTTTCTCAGTCAGGATGATGCTTGTTGGCATTCAGTCTGCTTACTGGTTATTTAGTGCATGTTTTTCCCCACAATAAATTGCCCGTCTGCCTGGCTGGCATTAGCCCAACTCACACAGCCTGCATGTCAGATGAACCCTTCTCCGTAGTGAAGAGAATTTCATCTCCTCTCCTGGATCCGGATCATTTTGCTCATTTCACTAACTGAGCCTGCAAAGGCCTTTACTGTGTTCCATTAGTGCCATGAAGCCAGTGTTTCCAAGTTTTAGTCAGTGGTGGATATGAATATCTGTCATATGGCTCACTGCCCAGGGCGTCACTCCACCAGTAGCAAAAGAAAGTTGTTATTTAAACACAAAATACGTTTTTTACATCTATAGTCAATGTGGACAGAGCTGTGTCAGTGTTTGTTAAGATATAAGAGATACCTTTAATCTCTAAATTTGAGGACTAGTTTCCTGTGTATTTAAGATGTGTACCTGCTTAAATATCTAAATGTTAGAATTATCTTTTAAAATAGATATCTGTAATTGATTCACTGATTTAAATCATGAGTGCTAAAGCAGAAATTTTTAATTATTTATTATTGCTTGGAGAAAAAAAATAATAATTTAGTTTTTGGAGGGGGTTACTTAGTGGCCCTGTTTATGTAAGAACTGCCACTGGTTAAAAGTCAGAAAAAAAATCTGGAATTGCTGGTTAGATTTCATATTTTAACTTTGGAGTTCCTTGTATCTTGCCAACCTTTACCTCAAAATCCAATAAGGCTGCCACAAGTAATAAGGGGACGGTGTGGTTATCTGCAGTTGTTATGTTTTGTGAGAAAATTATAGTTTTTTTGATTTTCTACAGATCTCTTTGTGTAATTCTCATTTTTTTTTATATTTGTTGCTCAAGCCCCCTAACCCCTGGACAAAGGACATTATTTTGAGGACCAGAAAGTTAATATTTTGTACAAAGAAGACAGGTGGTTTGAAAGGGGTGTGAAGGAAGCCATTCGTGTTAAGAGGGGAAAACCAACCTTAAACAGAGGGAGTGTTTTCAGCTCTTAAAAATCTACAATGCTGCGATAGAGTTGATTCCTTCTTACTATCATAACTCTGATGGCCATGCAGGGGACAAGGACAACTTGCCTGGTCAGCCAGGCTAACATTGACCCTAATGACTAATATCTTTCCGAGGCATAGACCAGTATCGAGTATTGCAGGCTAACAAAGACCTCAACGACTTCCCATTCCTAAGGGACGGACCTCTTGATCCAGGTTCATGTAGCATGTTTTCTAAACCCAAACAAGGCTTTGTTGGGCTACTTTTTAAAGCTTGGGACTGAACGCTAATTCTGACATTTCAATTGAATTGAAAAAGTTTCCTGGAGGGGAAGCAAAATGTCTTCAAACTTGGAAAACAAAGTCCAGTGGATTATTCTTTTTGTTTCACCCACTTTTTAGGACTGGGTAACTTTAGTATTTCTGCAGAATTTGAAAATACTAAAAATCACTACTATTACCTGGAATTGCAAATTGTAGTTTGCATATTTAACATGAAATGTCATATAATTGCAGAACTCATACTTTTTGCACAAACATAAAGTGGCTAATAAGTTGTTCTCTCTTTGTTCTCGGAAGTTGGATTTTTCCTTGATTCACATTTATGCTACGTTCAGACCGCAAGCAGCAGAGGCAGCAGCTAGTTTACATGCAGGAGCAGCGCCTCACAGGCTTTTGAGCATCTGACACGCATTACACGCTTCAGAAGCAGCAGCTGCTAGAGTTGGAAAATTTTTACTTTTGCTGCTCGACACGCCAACCAACCAATCCGAAAAGCTGATCTGGGAGCTGGCATGGAGACAGACACAGCGCTGCTGATGCGCATTGCTATGATCACTCCTTTTTATTAAAGCCTAAATTAACTTAAAATGTCAAAATCTTCCCACAAAATATTGTCAAGAACAGGGTGAGGCTGCTTGAGGACCCAAATGCAGAGATGAGTGAAGCAGAGATGAGTTCTTGTTGATTAAATAGAAAACTGAGGCCCACATCCAAAAATGCAAAATACAAAGAACCAAAAAACCAGAAAACCTCAGGGAAAACTTTTGTGGGGAGCCAGGCGAGGAAGCAAGGAACCAGCACTATGACTGCAGAGGTGTTGTACATAAGAGGAATGGAACAAAGGATGAGCTGAATATGGAGCAGGTGTGAGTGGAGCTAACTAGAAGAAAGCCAAGGGGAAAGGAAAAACGCACAAGGGAGCAACAGAGAGAAACTAAAGACTGCTTGAATATAATTGAGATTAAACCAAAATCACAAAACAGAAAAATTAAGAACTCAGAGTCCCAAAAGGGGAGAACCATAACAAATATGTTGTATGCTTTTATTATTCTGGTGCCTGCAGATCGGATTAGGTACTTGAAAAAGGCCTTCCAGCCACCATGCAAAGTAGCGGAAAACCGTGAAGAGGCGACCGGGCCAGAGGCTGCTGTTGAACGGGATTTCCAGGGACAGAGCTCCGCAAGTGTGCAGAGGTCTGAGTGGCTCTGACAGTGAAATAATATTTGAAGGCAGGATCCTAATCTTTATGAACTGACTGCACAGATGAAGATTTCAGGTGGACTTTCTCACTTAAAAATATATTAAAACTACTTTTTACCCACTTATAACAGCAAATATAGCTGCCATTGTTTCAGGTAAAGAAAGGATAGGGTAGCTCTGCCGCCAACTGATGCTTCAACTAAGATGCATCAGAACTAAACTAGTACAAGCACCAAAAATGAAGCAGCAGCCGCATTTTTGCTGCTTCTGCTGCGTGCAGTCTGAACATAGCATTAGACAAAGCAACTGCATCAACTCAGCAATTAAAACGACATGGGTACAACATGGCAAGGGTCAAAAAGGTGACAAGTAGATACAAAATGGTGAAAGGGAGAGGGAAATTGCAAGATTTGGTGTCTATTTTAAACTATACATTGTCATCATGGTTCGTGAACGACATTGTTTTAAATGCACTAAGTGCATGCAATTAGGACATGCTGAAATCTGATAATTATAGGATGATGGATAGATAGATTCATCCTCATAATTTCTGAAAAGCTAAACTAAATTGAATATTTATTTGTAATATTGTACATAGTGTAATTTTTTAGTTCATTCACAAAATACATCAGATGTAGCGATGCTGTGGTGGCTGCCTGATTGATTTATAAAAATGATCCAAAAATGTGTAATTCTTTTGATTTCGTTTAATTGTAGGTAGGCCTGGATAAAATATCACCAACTAGATAAAAAGAAGAAGAAAAAGTTAGGCGTGGGAGTCAGATCCCATCTCATTTGAACCGGCAGAGAGGGCCTGCTCGTTTTCGAGCGACACATCCATGCCGCAGCTCCCCTCGTGGCCAGCAGGTGGAGCTGCAGCAGCGCTGCTGTTCCGTGAGGAGCCGCTGTTCTCCGCTTCGTCCATGATCCTGACGTATTTCCTGGGGCTTGTGCCGACCACTCAGCGGTACACCGGAGGGGTATCATGACTGTTTATAATCAGCAGTTGTCTTTTACGCGTTCTTCAGTCGTTTCGCCGTGTCGTCGTCGGATTTAACACCGCCGCGTGAGACAATAAGCCACAGGATCGAGCAGGATGTAAAGGAAGCTGGTAAGTTTAGCCCTCGGTAAGTTTACCGTCTGCTTTAGCTTGTTGTATCTGACTTGTTCTGGTCGGGCTGCCGACTTTAACCGAACCAGCCGCTCCCGTACCACCGAGAGCTTGACACGTTGGACCAGGGAAGGATTATCGACTGCGCTGTCAGCTGGTTTTCCTCTCCCAAAGCGGAGAAAACACACAGAAAACCAGAGTCTGCGTCGACAGCGCCGTGTCCCGGTTTCTGTGGTTCTTTCCTGCGGAGATCGAAAATAAATTTTATATCGGCTTCTCTCCACCCCCCCATAAAAAACGCGAAACGATCGTTAGAAGTTGATAAGAAAAAAAAGGGGGAGGCACCTGTGAGAGAAGCAGTGTGGCGTCAAGTTTGCGTTAATCACACAGCGCTGGATTCTCAGACATATTTGTCATCATCATCATCGGATCAGCTCCAGCCAAAGATCCCACACTTACTGCGTGTTTCCATCGTGGACTGAACGCGGTGAGTCGAACCCACGGAGGACTTACAACTTGATAAACATTGATATTTGAAGTTTGGCTGAAGCTCTTAGGAGAGTCTTTTCTGCTCGTTTCGGTCCACGATTGTTTAATTATGAGGCAACTTTAGTTAAATAAAGTATACCCTGGTCTAAGAGAGTGGGAATTGTAGGTCATTAGTTCCTGGGGATGTTTGTGTGTTGTGGCTGCATTGGGACATCATCATCATCATCGTTGTTGTTGGGTTGTTTACCTCTGTGTATCTGCAGCTGTGGTTCAACATTATTATTAGGCTGGTCATCATTTGTGGAGAAACACTGAAGCAAAGCTGTGAAACTCACTACAGGCTGCGACAAAGACGCACATATTAACACATCACAGAAAGCTTGAGATCCTCTCTTTAAGAAAAATAATTTATGCAATTAAAATATACAATCTATCTTATTGTTTAGGTAGTTTTGTACTTTATAGGAGACAAAGAAACCTGTTTAGTAGTTCAGTTTTCTGCATAACTTAGAGCTCACCAACCATGGATGTTATTTGGGGGGGGCAGGGGGGGACATGTCCCCTTCACTTTTTCAATCGTCCGTTTAGGTCTGCATGTTTTAAGCCGGGCTTATACTGTGCGATTTAAAAATTTTTTTTTTTATCTTTGCCCTTTTCAGGGCGATTTGCCAGCCATGCGAGAATCTTTCCATCGGGCCGATTCGTTCAGCCTGATCATGCGTCATGCTTTGTGTAGTGTACAGGGGGTAGCGAGGGGTCAGCCTCTCACGACCGCCTTCCGATTAGGAATCGTGAGGTCAGGAGTAAATCAAACATGTTTGACCATCGTGGGCTATCCTAAAAAAAATGGTGGGGGTGCAATGAGTGGAATGGAGTTCTTTCTGTGAAATTGACAGACCGTAGTAGCCACGTTTGCTCAGCCATGTCTTTGTCCAAATACGTTGTTGCCTTTTCTATTTAGCGATTTAAGCACAAAGTTGCCAAGGCAGCGCGTTTCACTCCAGTGAGCTTTTTATTCCTCTTCTACTCATTTGGCTTCTGGATAGACGAGTCAATGCAGCCCCATCTCACTGCGAAGCTGAGTCCGACGTGTTTTTTTTAGACGTACAGTGTGAGCAGGCAGATCGCATCAGAGCGTCGGACTGAACATCCACCGTGAGCTGTGAACTCACACTGCATGATGAAACCACAGGGTTTCGTTGTACAGTGCGAGTTGCAGCTGCATGCAACGATTGAAACAATTGCACAATGTACGCCCAGCTTTACTGTCCAAAAACAAGGCTACTTTCCAGTACACAAATATTCCTTGAGCACTAGGACCCAGCAGAAAAACTGAAGCTCGCTTCCCTGAGTTTAGACCACCTGATTGGCTCACCGTTTTTTCTTTTGTGATTTATTGTCACTCCTGAGAAGCTCACCATACAAACATCTGATCTGCCACTGAATCAGGTCTGTGATTGGACGGTCAAACACGCTGAAGTCAGTTATATTAAAAAATAGTTGCATCCATGTCACCGACTGTGGTTTTATCATACATCTTTGATTCTTTTGTATGTCCAGATTTGTCCTTGTTGTAGAAGAGAAAGTGTTAATATATGGTATATACAGTAGTCTTTTCAGCCAGCTGACGGGCAATGCTTAGGGGAGAACAGGGGGAGGGAAGCCACTGAGTGTCTGTGTGTCTAACGTTGAGCAGTGAAAATATAACTCTGCTTGTTTTATAATGTTTGTAACTAATGTTATTGGAAAAGCAGACATTTCCATTTTATTTTGAATCGGTAATTTTCTATGTAAAATCTGTTTAAAATGATTCCAACTCTCTAAGGAGGAAAACAGAAGGGTAGGAAAAGGTTTTCTTATTAGCTTCAACAATAACTGTTTTTTATTTATTCATTATAAAAAAAGTGCTTGTTCTGAGCCGTTTCTGTTCCTCTAGTTCTCCTTCCCAGCGTCTTAGAGCTTGGTGCACGCAGTCAACATTTCCAAACCTTGGCAGCTTCGCTTTTGAAAACCTATATGATCCAAAACGCTTCATCGGCGTCTTTAATCAGACATGTTAGACTAAAAGAAGTAGAGATGCCGTTTCCCTTCTGCAATGATGTGCCTGTTGCCGCCCCTCTGGAGGCTTTCTGCAACAAAGATACAAACAAGCATCTTCTGCGCTGTGTTCCTGTCACTTCTCATAACGCCTTTCTGGAAGTAACTTGGATCCTGATCAGCTGCTTCCCAACATCTGACCGCTTTTTATGTCCTAATTCCACGGAGCACTTTTAACAATCTGCAAACATCTGCTGAACGACGGCCATCTTCCACTTCAGATGAAGTTTTCATTCTTTGGCAGGTAGTCTAGTTAAACCTAAAAGGAATCACACTGCTGCTGTGGCTTAAAATGAGTCTGCTGCTGTGCACTGCTGCTCAGCTGCTTGAAAGAATGCTGGTAAATCTTTTTACTTTGGCTGTTTTAAGCCATGTTTTCAGTGATGATCCATCGTTTAAGAAGCTGTTCATCTGCTTATTTAATTTTTTTGACCAGAGCAGCAAACTGTACTCTTCCCCATAAACACATGATCTGAACTATTACATTTAGCTACTGTAGTTAATTCGATTTTTAAGCTGCACCGTATTAGAAAAACATGAAATATTAAGGTATGTGAAACCAGTTCTCCATTGACCTGGATTTTTTTCTCTCATCCTTTATTTTTTCCATTATTACAACAGAAATAATGAGAACCCCAAACTGTACTTTTGCTGTAATATCTTAGCCACTCATATCTCTTATCAAATGCAGACAGGAAACCCCATCTAGCTAAAGAAATGCATTATTAGCATAAGCTGGAATTCAAATCAGTAACCTGATTCCAGTTTTTTTTTTCCTTTTTTAATTGCAGTTTTGCACACATCCAAACTGAGCTAACCGCAGAAATCAATATTTAATGTAGCTTCAATTAAAACTGTATTTTTTATTTTATTTTTTTTATTATAGAGGTGATTAGTTTGATCTATAATTTCTCCTAAATGTTTGGGCGCTTTCTGTTTAACCTTAAAAGTTCATCTTTGATCAAAAGAGCATTTTTTTTACTTTAACTGCAGCCAATTAAGGCTTTTCAACTAATAATAGCAACTCCTCTGGTTATGTCGGTTCATAATGCTAATTATGAACTGACTTGCCCTGAGTAAATAAACAGCTCATTTGTATTTGGCTTCAATAAACAAACCGCAATTTTCTCATAAACTAATATGCTTGCTGTCCATGTTATATTTATTTATTTGTTATGTTCGTAATTCAGCCCTCGGCTGCACTCGCATCCCGTTATCTCGCTGAGTAGCAGAGTTTGTATGTGTGTCGATGTGAGAAATTGCAGATTCAGAATAGCTTGTAAAAAGGTCATGTTGGTGAAACCCGCTGGAGTTTGTTTTTCATCTCATTAGAACATAAACAATAAACCAGTGACATGGAACAAAAAAAAAAAAACACTTTTTCTTATATAAAAAATAAAAGAAGTTATGAGTTTGGTAATGAGGTCAGCTTTATCCTTTTGGGGTGTAATGATTCTTGGCCAATTATAATGTAGTTTTACATCATTGTCGGAGCCTGACCTGCTCTGCAGTGAGGGATCTTGAAGAAGCCGCGTGTGGCGGGGGTTGGCTTCCCTCTGTGCGAGGCTTTCCAGACTAACGTTGAGGACGCTGAGTGGTCGGGAGCTTGGATGAGGTCACAGCCCTCTGCACTTAAATATCAGCGCGTGTCTAACAAGTCAAACAAAAGCCTCAGGAACATTCAGTCGCTTTGGTTGTGGCATCAAAAGACAGAGGATAAAACTGAGTGAGTTATACCAGCAGATTCACCTCACTGTCATCTAGTTTTTGTTTATTCTATTTCCATATATTTAAGCTTTTCATCAGAGCAGGTAGTTTAACTTAATGCTCCGTTCTTTTCATATTTTGTTGCACCGGCCTATTGTAGTCCCTGATTTTTCCCGCATTTGCGTCTGCAGTGAAGGTATTTATAGAAAGAAACGAAGGCATTGATAAAGCCTGGCTTGAATAAGCAGCTCGTCTTTCTGGATCAGAAAAATGTTTGTCTTTTCGGCCTGAGTTGATAGTTTCCTCATAGCATACTGAAAGACATTTGCATCACAGTTTTAGCCTTAACCTGTTACTGAAATGCGTCTCAGGGTGTCTTTAGATTATCTGTTTGTTTTGGTTAGAAAATGATAGAAATGTTTGCTTCAGGTGAATCAAAACTCCCTGGGTTGCATAGGACGGGATTGTTGTGGATTATCTGTGGGAGGTCTGTGTCGGTAAAGGAGTCCGATCAGATCAGCTGTTGCCACAACTTGTGTTAACACATGGGAATTTCTGCTGGCCCTGTTTAGCAAGCAGGACCAAATAAGCCACATATGACCTTTAAGCCATTATTCACTACATTTCATTTAATCAATTAGGATTGTTTTAGGTAAATCATTAAAAAACTTATTTTGATTTGTTTTTTTTCATGCTAATGTAACAGTTACCCAGTGAAACACTTAAAACAATCTTAAATTAATGATTTGATCAAGCAACCAGAAACCTGAATAAAGCAGCTTCCCAGCTGATTGGTTCTGCTAAATAACCTGCAGGTCAAAAGCTGAACATTTAACCCTTTTTCCTGTTCATTGAATGCTTATAAACTAAGAACATTCACTCTTTTTTCCTCTTTTACGTTTAGCTTGCAAACACATCAACCAATTGCAAGTGCTTGTATCTGACTGTGATGCGTTCAACAGGAGAATGTTGTAACTCCTTCTCTTTTAAAATGATTCAGAGGTTCTACTTCTGTGTCTCACTTGCATATTGAAATTTCCCAAAAATAATTAATCACATCTCAAAGTCCATATTAGCAAGTCAGATTTTAGATGAAAACAGATTTCATCATCTAGGTAAATCCTGATGGGTGTTTAAAGATGACTTTTGGAATGTATTGCATACTGTTTTAGTAGATGTGAAACTATTTCACTTATTGGCATATCTTATAACTCCTATATGAAAACGTTTAACCTTTTAAATCTGTAATAATGGGGGGCGCAGAAATAAAAGATTTTCTAGAAGGACAGAAAAAAGAGCAGGTCCCTCTAAACGCATTATTGTTTCATTGC